TGGGACGGATGAGCAGACACAGATGGCCATTGATGCAGGTGTGCTGTCAGTGCTCCCAAACCTCCTGCGTCACCCAAAGTCAACTATTCAGAAGGAGACAGCGTGGGCTCTGAGCAACATTGCAGCTGGGCCATGCAGTCAAATCCAACAGGTCATCACTTGCGGCCTGCTGCCTCCCTTGGTGGAGCTTCTGGACAAGGTAACCCCTTGTATTTTTTTCAAAAGTAATAGTTGTGTGTCCAAATGGAGACCCCAGTCTAGCTCATGAACATCCATTGGGGGGAAATGCAGGTATATCTCAGTTAGCAAAGAAGATGTGATTAAACCTGTGCTCAGAAATTTCCAGCTACCTGTCAAGGTATACCTCAGTTAACAAAAGTAGATGCTTAAAATGGCAGAAGTTGGAAGGAAGGAATCTAGTGCCTACCATAGCACATAACAACTGCTCATGATGAGTTGTGAGAAGAAAAAAGAAACAATCCAGTATTCATCATGGGAATATGGAATGTAATTCATTCAAGACCATTTGTAGGACCTTTGCCTTCTGAGGGCCAGGATCATAACTTAAGGACAAATGAGGGTCTTGTCAATCACTGTCAAGAGCAAAGGGTTGCAGTCCTAGAATATCTACTAATCAAATGCCACCAGTTGCATAGTAAAATTTCAAGGGCAGCCCCTCACATATTCAAGTTTCAATAACAACACCCCTGCAAAGAGTCCAAAAAAGCAGGTGAATAAGTTGATCTTAAAACAACTAGCAGATTTGCTCTCTTTAAGGAGCAAGTCTTTTGTACAGCTTATGGGTCTTGCTTACTCAAAATGAAGTTCCAGCTAAAAATACTTTAGATCACGACAGGGATAGCTCATAATATATTATTGGGAAGATCCTTTTCCTCTCTTGCTCCTTGTGGGTATTGCAGTTAAACTCAGATGGAACAGAAGAGTCCAGTGGGCAGCAGAGTTGACAGCTGATGTTGGAGTCCCTACTAAAAAGAAGTACTGCAAGCCCTGACTCTATTACATCACTGGTTGCACCTTTCTACGTGGATTACTTGTTTGTCCTTCTCTTGTTTTCTGTAGGGTGATTTCAAAGCCCAAAAGGAGGCTGTCTGGGCAGTTGCCAACTTCACTACTGGAGGAACTGTAGAGCAAGTGGTGGAAATGATACAGGCAGGAGTCCTTAAGCCTCTTTTGAACTTGCTGACCATCAAAGATGCCAAGACTATCTTGGTGATCTTGGACAGCATCTCCAATTTCTTCATGGTAAGTAAGTGTGTGAGATTTTCACCAATTTGCTTTCAGGCTCTTTTTTCTTTGTCCTTTTAAAGGGTGGCATGTGAGTAACAGAGGTTAGTGGCACCGTCATGGATTCAGCCTGCAAATTAAACTAGAAGGCATACTATGTCTCTTTAAGGATAAAGTCATGTGAGAACAACCTTAGTATAAATGTAGGAAATAGGCAGGGAGGGGGGCTGTTTTTGACTATCCAACAACTTCTTCCAGCCCTCTGTATCCATGGATTCATCCATCCACATCTTGAAAATATGAAAAAAATTAAATTCCAAAATGCAACCTTAATTTTGCCATTTTATGTAAGGGACACCATTTTACTATACCATTTAATGGGACTTGGGACATCCATGGATTTTGATGTCCATGGGGTGGTCTTGGAACCAAACCCCAGCGGATACCAAGGGTCCACTATAGATGCTAGTTGGAATAGCCACCAGCCTTTAGTGCGGGATTCTGGGAGTTGGAAACCCCACAAAAATGACCTTTTTCACATTCTAGAAATAGAATCTTGTAGAAAAAGGACACATCTAGATCAGCAAAAGGTATTGTGCAAGCATTCTGTTCCACTCCTCTAGAATATTTTTTGAGAGTAAGAAAGATGAAAGAAGCCATGGAAGAACATAGAGGGGATAGCAAGTTTTAAAAAGTGCCATCTGAGACCTCTATAGTATCATCCCCCACATAAGAGACCTGAATTGCAAGGAAGAAAATCCTTCTCTGCAATGTCCAATAGGGACAAAATAGATTCCCTTGAAATAGCAAGTAACCTTGTGACACCTTAACAATTAACAATCTTGACTTTTCCTGGACTATAGTCTTGAGATGAATCTAGAGACCATGGAAGCTTGCACAGCAATGATTTTCTAGTTTTGGATATGTCAAAGGACTCAGTTGCCTAAATATGAATAGACCCATTGAATCGAAAGTCCACACTTCTGTAAGTGCTGTTGATTCAATGAGTCTACTCTAGTGTGGAGCACCCATTCAATCTGGGCCCTTGTTTACTACCACTAACACACAACTCCATTGGAAATAGGTGCCATCATTGATAGTAAATAGAGTCAGAGCTTGCAAAATGCTGGGTTTTTTGGACTACAGCTTCCAGAACTCCCCAACCAGCATAGTCAGTGCTCATGCTAGCTTGGAGGCAGGGTCTGAGAGCTACAATTTTTAAACGAATGACAATAACTATGAGATTTCTCTGTTTCTCTTACTTCTTACTCTTCCTTTCTCTTCTCATATCAGTCAGCTGAGAAGCTTGGTGAGACAGAGAAGCTGTGTCTTCTGGTTGAAGAGCTTGATGGCCTGGAGAAAATTGAAGCCCTCCAGACTCATGAGAATGCCTTGGTCTATCGAGCTGCATTAGGCATCATTGAGAAATACTTTTCTGGGGAGGTATGTAGCCGCTAGCATGACATTCTTATTCTTCTGTCTCCATTGTCTTTGGGAGAGAGAACTAGCAGCACATTGCCTGGGTAATTCCTAGATCTTGGGGGAAATGCTTTTATTGACTACAATTCCTAAAATCCCCAAAGTGCATAGCCAATGGTCAATAGGGTCTAAGAGGGATTTGATCCATTGAAGTCTAAAATTCGACATTTTCAAACTAGGAATTCCTTCCATGGGCAAAAATAGTCCCTTCAATGGGCATTACTGGTTCTTAACAATGATCTTGCCCTTGGTTGCACTTCTTGCTGCAACATTTTCAGTGGAAGCTTTTTGTCTTGTTGTTTTTAAATGTTGGCTCATATTTATACTGAATGTGAAACCTGTCCCAGAAGCCTCTTTCTGGAAAAAAAAGTCTGGTTTTATGAAGGTAAAGAGCCTGGAGCCTCTTACAAGATATTAGCATTGTATAGGGCATATATACTTCAGACTGCAAGATGTCTTTTAAATGTCATGATCACACTTTGACACCATACTGCCTGCATGTTATGATATTCTGGGATTTATAGCTTGATGTGCAGCTAGAGCAGCACTTCTCATTTTTTAAACTTCCAGCTGTTTGTACTTAGCTCCTTGAAGCCTATGCCATCATGGTAAGCGATGATGAGTTCTGAGCTGAAGGCCAAAACATCTGGAACCACTGCACTTACCCTCCTCTGGAAGAGAACTCTAAATATCTTACAAAACTGCAGATTGATTTAAATATACATACACACACATATAGCTATATATAAAAAACACACACATGTACATATATATGTGTGTGTGTGTATTCATGCAAACATACATAGTATACAAACATCCAAATTTCACGAAACAGTGATACCTTTTTTGGGCCAACCAAAATGCCCAAAATACATCAGTTAGGCTTTTGATGCTCCACTGGCTTCTTCATAAGACAGAGGTGTCAAAAATCATACAGGAAAAAAAGAGAAAAATGACTATTTTAGAGTTATGTACATACAAGTTGTGTATTCCTTATCTGAAATGCTCGGGACCAGATGTAGTTTGGATTTTTCAGATTTTGCAGTACCTGTATTTGAAATACCTCTTTGAGGTATTAAGACATGATGAGGCTGGAGAGAGACTGAGGATCTGTGAAATGGCAGGGAGCATGCACTCTCTCTCCAGCTGTAGCTCTCTCTAGTCTCACAAATACACTACAGGTATTTACTATGCTACTAGTGTACTAGCTCAAAAAGTTTTGGATTTTTGGAGTATTTAAAATTTCAGAATTCTGGATAAGAGATACTCAACCTGTGTGTGTATGTATGTATATAATCTAAATTTTCAGAATCCTTTGAGGGATAGACAGAACTGTTGAAGCCATATAGATCCTACCATAAATCTAAAATGGAGAATTACTTCTTTCTCCCTTTACTCCATGCCCTCTGCTTTTCTGTCACCACTGCTAGGAAGTTGAAGACACTAATCCAGAAGCAGATCAAGAAAGGAAAACACTACCTTTTGTGGCTCAGCAACAGGAGTTCTACAACTTCTGAAGGAAGGCTTTACCTGCCATGCTTGCACCTTGCTAATTTGGTGGTGGGTCTCACAACTAGTGCCGTTTAAGCACTTACGGGGAGGGTCCAATTTGTAATGTTGTCTATGAGAATAAATCACTGTCCTAGATTTGTAGGACCTGTTTGTCTGGAGTCAGCTCCTTTCTTGCTATTGTCCATGCGTGGTGAACCTTTCGCCCCTCCAGAAGTTATCTAATGTGGGAGGCCAGCAGTTGTTATTATCCAGTGTACCAGGGATGGGCACCATGTTTGTGCCCATTGGGTACAATTGTTCTTTCCTAGAAACTCAAATGATATTAGTCCAGAGACTACATTTTGAGTAGCACTTGTTTTGGAGTACACCTGCCATCAGTCTTTTCTTCTAGGACCAATAGGCTAAATAATAATAATAATAATAATAATATTTATACCTTTTGCAGAGCAATCAAGGCGGCTTACAACTAAAATAAATTGAGTAAAACTACCCCTAAAATCTCTGTGTCTGGGGTGGGAAGGAGAAATATCTGTTCTACCGTTATGTATTATGTTTCCCAGAATCCCCAAACAGCACAGATTTGGATTTCTTTTTTCAAATTCTTTATTAATATAACAATACGAACATTGTTGTTGTGTGCCTTTCAGTCATTTTTGACTTATACCAATCCAATCATAGGATTTTCTTGTCAAGTTTCTTCAGAGGGGGGTTGACATTGCAGCTGGGAGAGTGTGAGTTGACCAAAGTCACCCAGTGAACTTTTATGCTTGAGCAGAGATTTGAACCATGGTCTCCAGAGTTGTAGTCCAGCTTTCAAACCACTACATCACACTGGCTCTCACAATGTTATAGATGGCAAAATGTGAGCCTTATACGATCATTATGCAAAACCTGGATATTGATTTCCTTCAGGTTTCTTAAAAGGAAGGTTAAATGTAACAATGTGAAGCCACCTATTTCAAATTATTGTTTGAAATAATCATGTATAAAAAGTAGGAAGGGAAAGGGGAGAAAAAGATGTGGCACCACACCTAGAAGATGAACTGGCCTTTAGTTTTGCATGAGCTTTTGTGAATATCATGTACCAGAGCTGACTGACCGAATGTATTATGCTGCCTAAGGCAGAGCAGTCAAGGGCTGCATCCATACTGCAGAAACAATCTGATTTGACCCCACTTTAACAGCCATGGCTCAATGCTATGGAATTCTGGGAACTGCAGTTTGTTGTAGTGCCAGAACTTGCTGCTTTTTTGTTCCAAATCCATTTCTTGAGGTGGATACTTCACTCTGTCTGATGGTAGAGCTGGCCCTGAAGTTACATTAGTACATAATGCACCTGACAAGGATGGGGTGAGAGGCAGATTTTAGGTGAGTTAATGGAACTTTTGAGATGCGGCTGGAAGGGTTGTGGCTTCTTCAAACAAGAAGACCCTTGGAAAGTTTTGTCACTTAATTCCAGAGCCCTGGAAAACAGGTGGCTATGATGTTTGGGGATTCTGGGAATTGTAATATGTACATAACATTCCTAAATTCTGGCTCAACTGTTCAGAAGCTTTACTGGGTTCCTTGCTAGTCTCCTGTGAGAAGAAGTTTTTCAGGTTAAGAATTGCATGCTTCTGTTTTATCTTTAAGTGTCCTTTAAAAACAATGCCAGCAGCAATAAACCATGATCTTACTGGGAGGCAAAACTGAGGCAGAAAGGGTTACTAATTCTTCTTCACCATCACTTCGCCCAGTCTCTACCTTCTTCCCAAGATGTTTGCTTACTTTGGATGGATATGCAAATGATTTTTTATTCTTTGAAGAGCTTGGGATTTGTAGTCCCCAAAAATGCCAAAATACAACCTGAAGAACATCCCAGCAGAATTTAATGATGTGAAAAATAGATTTGCACCACTAAACCTAATTGACCAAGAAACAGATGAACTATGGACTGAAGCGAGGGGCATAGTCAAGAAGGAATGCAGAAATATGCTAATTTCAGCCAAAAAGAAAGAAGAATCAATGGATGACAGACAAAATGCTTCAAACAGTGAAGGACAGACGAGAAGCAAAAGAAAAAGGAGAAAGGAATAGAGCCAGAACCATGTGTGCAACCATCCAACAATTAGTATGCAAAGATAAAGAGAATTGCTATAATTTCACAGATAGAAGCTGACAACAAAAAAGGAGGAGCAAGAGAACTCTTCCACAAGTTCCGTAAAATCGAAGGGAAATTTAAACAACAGATGAGAATGCTCTTATGATCAGCAGAGAATCATAATACACAACCAAGATAAAATAAAAGGAGCTATATAAAACAGATGAAGGGATGAATGACCCATGAGAAGAAGCATCCTATGAAGATGAATCCCAGATAAGTGAAGTGCAAGATGCAGTCAGAGTAATTGGGAGGAATAAATCACCAAGAAGAGATGACATAGCAGTTGAAATGCTACAAGCTACAGAGACAGAATTGACTTTAGTTCTAACTAAAACCTGCCAACAAATAGGAAAACAAAGTGACCCGGGACACCCTAAGGGGTGGGTGACACCACTGCTTCCCAGACATCTGCCTTTGGGCAGAAATGGACTCTGGCATTCTCCTTCATCCCTTTAAAAGGCTGAAAAGATTGTGCGATGCTCCACCTGCTTGAAGCAAGGTCTCGGATGCAATTTGCTAAGGATAATATTTAATGCAGGCTTTGTTGCCACACTGTACTATGTTCAGCACACAGTTTAAAGGTGGGGGGAGAGGGGGGAATGATTTTGCATTACCTAAAACATTGTCATTGCTTGTATAGCCTTTGTGAGCTATATATATTAAAAAAACCAGGGGAGGTTTGGCTCCAGAAATACTGCTGCTGCATCAAATGATAACATTCACACTTATGACAGAGGTGCATTATGTACTTCATGCTGTTGCTGCAATTGTTGAATGTTGGAGTCCTGGGGATGGGGAAAGGGAGTGAGCTGTCGCTGCCACCTCTGTGGCTTGCTCCTCAAGTGCTAGCTGTTGCAAGAGCTGAGAAGCAGAGCTGAGAACAGCTGTTTTTAAAGCGTCTAGCTCCTGTCTGAACCTAGCACCTGGGTGGAGAAGGTTTTAATTGGGATCTGTCAGCCCTCCTTTTTCATGCTGTAAATAATGTATTAGCCCAGTATCTATATGCCCATATTAACAGCCATGGGTTGACACATCAGACTATAGGTAGAAGGCTAAGGGTGCATAAATCTCCTGAGATTCATAGCAGTTAAATAATAATAATAATAATAATAATAATAATAATAATAATAAAATTTATTTGTATCCCGCTTATTGACAAACAATCCAAGGGGTACCAGATGAACGGACCACAAGAACAGCCTCTCTGTCTGACAGTCTAAAGATTTATTGAGTTGAACACTCAGTGTTACTCCTGTGGACAACTACATACTTCTGGGAAGCCCAGATGCAGAACATGAGGACAATAGTACCTTCCTGCCAGAGTTACGGGAATTTCCTTTCCTCCCCCATTATGACTCCCAGAATCCCTGGCCAGCATGGCCCTTTGTTTTTCCAAGCTACTTGGACCACAAGCCATAACCTGGAACAGGAGCAGAAGATAATATTTAATGCAGAAATGAGAAAGATAAAGCCCATGGTTTGTTTGATCAGGTGTTGTATAATTCATGGTGTAAGCATCAAACCATGCTTAATGCAAAACTTGGCTTGTTGTGACATGCCAATGCACCCGTGGATAAAAATGACTTATAGTATTGCATAGGATGGATCATCTTTCTCTCTCCCCACTTCCTCTACATTATGGATCCGCTTTATGGACATCTATCGTTCATTTCACCGTGCGCTAGTCATCTTTCTTTTCCCCCTTCAGCTCTTTCCAGGAGTAAGAAACAGAAGAGACAGACTTCAAAGAAGCCTTTCCCTGCTGGTGAGAGTGACTTTGTGTCTGGACAGCGTCTCATTTGTAATGTTAATTATTAAGGGGAAGAAGCAATCACTTTCTAGCCTGTTGTGTCATGCAAACTTATAGGAACAGTAATCTATTATGGGAAACAGGGGAGGCAGGTTGGTCAGTGTTGAAACATTTGAGCAATCTTTTTAAAGACCTTTCTTTCTCCCTATTGCTTTGCTGAGTGATACTAACAAATGAAGTGAGTTTCATAGATGCAAATTAGGGACACATGTGGCCAAGCAACATCAGAGCGTGGTCAAGATGGACAAGGCTCTTGATGCGGAAGAACAGACAAGCTAGGAGAGGGAGCAATGGTTTGCTTTTGCCCAAACATACTGGGAAGGGCAAGAATCCACTTGTTCTTCCTTCTCCCCTGCTGATTTAATTGAATGCAAACTACCTTTGCAGGTTAAACTCTGCATGCAACAGTTGAAATAAGCTGAGGACAAAGGGGGAAAGTGGAAGAAGAGGAAAAAAATTGGGACATTTTAAAAGCTGCTGAAAAATGGGAAGACAGAGGTTTAATTAGGATTATCTTGACCAAATCAGTTGGAGGAGATTGTGTATGTGCCTTCAAGTCACCATGAATTTCAGTTTTCTTAGGTAAGGAATAGGCTGAGGTGATTTGCTATCACCGTTCTCTGAAATATAGCCTACAGCACCTGGTATTCCTTGATGGTCTCACATCCAAGTACTAACTAAGCCTGACCCTGCTTAGCTTCCAAGAATAGACAGGATCTGGTGGCTTCAAAAGTGACTGCTTAGTAAAAAGCTTTGTAAAGGCCACCTTAAAGGTTACAGAGCTTGTTTGGGGGGTGGGGGGGGGAACCAGCCATTTGAACTCTGGTCTCTGAAGCTGAAATCCATCACGGGATCCCATTACTTTGGTTATTGATTCACATTCTTGATTTTAAAATTGATGTCAAACATGTTTAAAACTAGTGGTATTGGCATGGATGTTTTCCAGATTTATGGATCAGATCTTCCCTCTTCTCCAAGGGGATTTTTATTTACAGTCTGCCACCCAAGCGTGCATTAATCTAAGCCTCCTTCCTCCTTGTGCAATCTGCAGCCTCTCTTTTGCTTATTACAGCCATTTCCCCGTCTTTCCCTGATGAAATCGTCTTCAATAGAACCTCAGCTGATCTGATGCTATGTTTAGTAAAGCCATTGCTCTCCAAACAGATGTCTGAATCCCTTGCCGCTCAGACTGACAATATTGAAGATGAAAACAAACCGGAGTGGAAAAATATGGTGTTGGGAAGCAAGGCATTGAAAGAGATCAAGATGGCAGGCTGCAATTTAGCTCATGTGGACCAAGTCTTCAGCATTTGGGAAGGATGCCTCTTTCGGGATTCACTGGGATCTTAAAAGCAACCTTTCTTTTTTCCTAACCCTGAACACTTCTTCTTTAATCTCAGATCATTTGGTCAATTTAACCACTTGTAGTCAGGGACAGTGTTATAACTTTTCAAGGTGGTTTAGAGTAGAAGTAAAGAGACATGGGGACTCTTCCGCACGCCATAATTATTGTACTATGATTCCACTTTCACTGCCATGGCAACATCCTACAGAAGCCTGGGATTTGCAGTTTAGAGAAGGGTGCTTAGAATACTCAGCCAGTACAGTTTGAGATTTACACCAAACTGTAAATCCCAGGATCCTATAGCATGCAGCCATGGCAGATGAAGTGAAATCATAGTGCTATAATTGTGTCATGTGAAAAAGCCCATTGATAATTTGTAGTTGTTTGGGGTGTACTGTGTTCAGAGCTAGAGCATGCCAGGCTTGTAAGTCAACACTTTAACCCAGCAAACTTTTTAAAAAATCATGGCGAAAGCATGGAAGATCAACATGGATGTTAATTAATCCAGCGCTTGAAATAAATATTGGATAATGATACA